TCCTCGAGCTTGACTTACTGCCATCGCAATAGGTGCTTTTGCCTGAGCCTGGGCTCCCCAGCACAAGCTGCGCGAAAGGCATACTGAGCTTTGCGAAAGACTTGAAAGATGACTGGTCGTAAGCTGTGAGGACAAGCCGCGATGATGTGGGTGGGCGGGCAGTCGGGCAGTTAGTTGTAGCTTGCAAGTACCACGAGCTGCCCCTCGCTAGCTTGCCCCTCCATTTGTGAGCTTGCCCAAGAATTAAGGCGGTGGGCCCAGGCAGAACCATACCCTGGAGCTTGTTTACTTATCGATTTACAGGGACAGCAGTGACCCAATTGTAGTTGGTATTCCAGCGCATTTGACGGCCGACATTGAATTGCCACCATCTTAATCACCATCACCAGTCGAGCCTTCATATACCGACCATGGCGCCCGGTATGCGATTCTACTCCCTTCTCCATAATCCTACCTAGCACCATGTGAGGAACTAAAGAAAGCTAACCAAACCTCCGCTCGCAGCAACACAGTTCGAGCTCGCGCAGCCGCCGAACGATGCGATCTCAGCGGTGGCATTCGCGCCGGGCTCCTCGTCGCGACTCCTAGTATCCTCCTGGGACAAGAATGTATACGTCTACGACACGACAGGCGAGGCGGACGCCGATGGCCGACACGGCACCGTGGTACAGACCATCGCGCACCGGGCGCCCGTGATGGACGTGTGCTTCGGCGCCGACGACAACGAGGCCTTCAGTGCCGGCATGGACTGGCAGGTCCTGCGCCTCGACCTGGCATCCGGCGAGACGACGCCACTCAGCAAACACGCCGCCCCTGTACGCCGGGTTGTGTATAGCCGCGAACATTGTGAGTGACCCCCGGTGTGCCCGATACATACCCTGCCTGGCGAAGCGCGCATGGTGAGGGAATGGAGACGGAAAGGGATATCGTCCCGCCCCCATCAGAGGAACCGTCGTGCTGACAATCTCTCCTCGCTCTACAGCCCTCCTAATCTCCGCCTCCTGGGACGGCACGCTACACGTACACTCGTCCGCGAACCACTCACAGGCGCATCTGACGGTGCCATTGCCCGGCAAGCCGCACGCATTGGCCGCGAGTCCTAGCAAGGTGATCGTGGCGATGACGTCGCGGCTGGTACACATCTACGACCTGGGCGCGCTGGCGACGGCGCTGGCCGCGGGGCCGGACGCCGCGGCGCCCGCGCCGCCGCAGCCGTGGCAGCAGCGGGAGAGCTCGCTGAAGTTCCTGACGCGCGCGGTGGCCGCGATGCCGTCGGACGCCGGGTACGCGACCTCGAGCATCGAGGGGCGGGTGGCGGTGGAGTTCTTCGACGCGAGCGCCGAGTCGCAGGCGCGCAAGTACGCCTTCAAGTGCCACCGGCAGACGCAGGCGCCGCCCGAGGACGGCGCCGCCGCCGCCCAGGGGGGGCCCATGGACGTGGTGTACCCGGTCAACGCGCTGGCCTTCCACCCGGCCTACGGCACCTTCGCCAGCGGCGGCGGCGACGCCACCGTGGCCCTGTGGGACGCCGCCGCCAAGCGCCGCATGAAGATCTACCAGCGCTTCCCCGACAGCGTCGCCGCCCTCGCCTTCAGCGCCGACGGCAGGTTCCTCGCCGTCGCCGTCGGCCCCGGCTTCGAGAGCGGCATGGAGGACTACGACGCCCACGGCCGCACCCACATCGTCATCCGCGAGCTGGGCGAGAACGAGGCCCTGCCCAAGGGCAAGGCGAAGTGAGCACGGGGGCCCGGAGCCGGAGTCGAGGATTGAGAACCCGGGCTGCTCACGACGGGATGCCACAAGCGCAGATCAAAGAAGAAGAGGGGAGTAAAATGCCGGCCGACGAGGGGTTTCGGCAACGCAGTCTGTGAAGCACCCAGCTAGGGCGGTCGCGAAAGGCTGGCCGAGCGAGAGATGCAGGTGCCTTTGGGAAGGCTGTCGAGATACGGACCACAAAGTGGAAGCTCTGTATCGTCTATTTGAGAGATTCCCAAACTAAGGCTGGGTAAGCCTGGATCTGGCGTTTCAAGAGCAAAAATGCGATTTTGATATTTCTTTGCTATCAATCTCCCCTGGATAATCCCGTGAACGGTGTCGGAGAAGGGAGTGGTGTCTAGGTCACCTGGCCAGGCTGACCATGAATACTCCCATCACTACCTGAATCGTTATCAAGGCATATGGCAGGCTTACTACTGCGTTAGTCGCCAGCTTCTGGCATGTCTCCTGGATGAAGTGCTTCCACATGGTCCCAAAAAGATTGCTCTTTCGCTCAGATCGGCCGGAAATGAAGGGATTAAACCCATCATCTATCCCATCTTTTTATATTTCCCGCGCCACCCATTAGTCCCGCACAAGCAAGACGAATTGGCATTGTATACCATAGGCTGCAACTGCCTTTCCTCAAGACGGTGTCAGTACTGCCCCGAACCCAATACAGAATTGTCCGAGCTTGTCATCAGATCATCCTCGGTTAGTCTTGCCATGCTCAACCCTTGTCGGACGTCTTCGGGATAGTCCTCTTTGGAGATATGAATTCGCGAGTCGCTTGAGCTTGCTGTACTGTACGAAAGGCTGCTGCGGCTGCCTCGTGCACGTGAGTCAACACGTCCTGGGCTACTTTCCTCCTCCTCCTCCTCCTCCTCCTCCTCCTCCTCCTCCTCTCGGTAATCATCTGATTCAAGCATTGAAACATCATTATCCGGAGGGTCTCCATCGTCTGGATCCTCTTCGTCTGGATATTCTTCGAACTCGATATTGTCGTCGTGGGAATCGGATTGCCACCATTCGTGCTCATCTGCAGTTGGATCCACTTCTTGCTCTGCCTCGTCATCGGTACCATCCCGCCATAATCGGACATCAGCAAAGTGAGCTGGTATCTCTCTGGCAGGGATTTGCTCTGCTGCTTTAACCCGTCCACCAAAGTTCTCAAAGTTAGAGTTGTTCCTGCGTCGCACTGGCGCTGAGATCGCCAACTCTCTCGGTATCGGTGCCGGCGTCGGTTGCGGTGTTATTGTCGAGCGAAGGTTACTTGGAGTCCCTGGAGTCTTTCGCTTGGATCTTCTCGCGACCGTATCCTCAGCGAAGCTCTGAGCAGTAGGCCACTCGTCTTTCACTTGAGTGCCACCGACGTTGATTTTATAATTCGAAGAACGGTCAATACGAGGTCTGCTGGATCCTGCGTTGGGGAGTCTCTGAGATGCAGCTTGGCTTATCTGCAACTGTCCCATATGAGGAAGCGATGGCGTTCCCTTGCGCTTGGGCTTTCCTGTCATGAGAAAGGCGAAATCGGGCTTCGCTTCATCTCCGGAGAATCCATCTCCCACGCGCCAGTCAGTTTCAAGGGAGCCACTGGAATCGGGAAACCGATAGACATCAGGGCCTGATCGTCTAGGAAACCGGGATAGGCCCTTCGTGGCTTGTGAGGCTTCATTAGGCCCACTGATGGCAATGCGGCTCGAGTGGTGCCCAGCATCCGATTGTCTAGCACGGCTGGGGCTTCTTGGGACATCGTACATATCGCCTATATCCTCATCGTTCTTGACGTCCGTCAGCCTGGGGGAGGTTTCACCGTAGGAGGTTCGACGACTGTTTCTTGTGCTGCTACCGTTAAGCTGCGTGCTTCTCAGACGCTTCCGGGGCCGTCCTCGCGATGCACTTCTTCGCCTCAAACTCGGGGACGTTCGGGAGCGCGATCGAGACGGAGTTGAACGAGAAGAGTCAACTTGAGGAGCATGTGTTTCCCCAGGTCCTGGTGAATCCGAGTCGGAACACAGCCTATAGCCACTGCGATATGCGTTGTTAGAACTCGCCTCTGCAGACACACAAGCTTAGGATGACCAAAAGCGGTTCAATTGCTGTGGAGGTTATGTGATTCCATCCTCACTTACCTTCCAAGTGAATCCCTGACAATTGGCAGAGAGTCGAAGGTTGGCCCGACGGATCGTCTTCGACTCGAGTTCGCCTTTATTCGTGAAGTTGGTTTCGTGTCCGGGACTAATTGCGTGTCGGGGACCTGGCCGTGCAGAGATCCGGAATCGTCTGCTCCCAAAGTCATGCAATCGGCGTTCATGGACTTTGTTCGTCGGGGCAGAAGGGCGTTCACCCGCGCAGCCGTCAGTGGCTTAGGAGCAGTCGAGCACGAAGAGATTGGGTCCATGGCCGAAGGCATCGTAGGCACCTCATCCAGGGCCATTGGAAGCATGTGTGACCCGTCCATGGATACCCAATCACTCTAGGTGTCTATGCCACCCACAAAGAGCATCGCAAGGCAGATGTTCGGAAGATGCGGGAGTCTTCGGTAGTAGAACCGCAAGTGACACATACTGCAGAGATGCAGAAAGTACCTCCGGCGGGGGACCAAGAAAAGTCCTCGGTTCCATGGCCGCGACTTCTTTGCAGGATCCAACTACTTCACCACACTGTTCCTGCGCAGTCGGAAGGTGCGTCAACTTTGTAGTGAAGTCGCTCGCTCTTGCTTCTCTCGCGCTCAAGATGCAAGACTCGATCCAAGAAAACAAGGGGCTCCTACCGCGCCTGCTCTTGACGAAGAAATCGACAGGTGAACTGACCGAGGCCGAGCTAGGTATTCTAAGCCCAGGTCGCTAAGGTTGTCACAACCAAGTCATCTGCCCAAGCCTTTAACATGGTTAGCAGCAGGCATCTTCCGACACGTAGCTCTTCCTGGTAGGTGTCCGATGCAGCCAGCCCCCTCGCAGTATGCCACTTATCGGTAATGCAGTATTGCAGAGTTACAAGCGAGGCAATTCCAATGACGTGTCCTCGATAATGTGAAGATCCTCGTCTGCCACTGCAGAGAAAGCCACTCTGACTACTAAGATGAATTGAGGCGGAAGATGGAAAAAGCACGGCATGCGCAGCGTTCAACTGACGGCAACAGCAGATGGATTGGAAGATGATCTTCCAGTGCAAAAAGCCTCTAAATGACGATCCGTCGAACAAAAAAGAAACACAGAGCCTACATCAACGGCAAAAGATGATGATGCCCATTACTGGAGTCGAACCAGTCGCCTCCTCATAGCTAGGAATACTAGTGAGGCGCTCTACCGCTGAGCCAAACGGGCGAACTGAAGGTATTTCAGGGGGGTTTTGTGGGTGTCACGTGCAGATTTTGTGGTTTGTTGTCCTTTAAGACCCCTAGATTAGCTTGCCAAGGATCCGGATGGACGTTGGGTCTCACGACACCACATGCTTTCTATTGTTAGGCACTAGGGCAGCATCATTGGACTCCAGATATCATAGGGAGTCTGGTGGGATCTTCTCGAGACATGCGATACTTGAACGATGTACTTCCCAGGGTTCGCTGCTACCCTTTCTGAGTACCTTATCACTGGGTCGAGTCAAGTTCGTCCACTGCATATATCCGAGACGTACGGGTGCGCTGGCGTCATGGCCTATGGCAGCTGCATGCTGAGCCACGCAAGAGGCAGAACACGAGAAAATCCATGGATGTGTCCTGCATGACACTGGAAAGATGCTGGAAATGTTCGAAAATTACATTCAGTCGCATCATCGAGCGCGTGAGCTTCGGCACTACCGGAGCCGCGATAAACTTTGCGCGACGCTTGGCTTGATGTAGGTAGTCCGGAGAACTCGAAGTCTCCCACCTCAAGTCCAATTGAGTGTGCCTCGAATGGATTGTCCCTGGTATAAAGGAGTCTACTTTCAAGCACCGTAGGCGTGATGTACTCCCAGAATCGATAACTCCTCGGGGTTGCAACCTGATGGGATTTCATCACTCTCGCTTTTCGAGCGGCTCGGGCTTATACGGCCTCCAGTCACCCAGTCCCTGGCTGAAGGAGCTGAAGAGGCTGACTTCAATGTTCGGATTCTATTTGCCGCCCTACTACGGTGTCGTGTTAGACCTGCTGCCGCATTTCAAGACATTGACCCCGAGACCAGGTACGACAGTAATAAGTATTGACCGGCAGTCAATAAAGTTGAGCGAAACCAATTATCTGGAAGATCTGGTCCGGGAGGATGTATCAAGATATTGTCCGGATATCTCGTGCCGGTGGTTGCGGTGGAAATTGCGGCGATGCGGTGGCTGTCTGAAAACACGAGGCCGGTCGGCCCCGGATTCCCTCGTGTCTTCCACCACTCGGCATTTTCTTCCAGATGGCATCATACTGCAAATCCGCAACGGTCCGAATCTTGACTCCGCACATCTGGTATCCCTGGGGCCCGTACTAGCATGATGGGAAAATGAAAATGGACTCGAAGCCCACAGACCCGAGTCTGCAACACGCGCGATAGTGCACTGTAATGACTGTAATGGCCTGACAGCCTGAGGCTAGCCGCTCAAGCACCGCGACAACGCGACTCATTCTAGGGTTTTGCGGGGGGATTGGATCTGGAGATGCCCGTCCCTGACGATCTTCTACGTTTTCGTCATCGGGTCGTCCCAGGCCCTAATCTACCGGGTTTTTTGCGGTACAGAGGTGGTGGTGGTGCAACAAGACGCTCTACACGGCTGGCGGTGCCGGCCCCCAGAAGCCGAATCGGGATGGGCGGCAGCTTTGGATTGGACGGTGCTCGCCGTCCAGCATGCGAGCATTGCAACACTGCACTGCAGGATGCCACACAGCACACATGCCAGAACCAACCAACAGGACTGCCCAGTGCCACCTTGGTAGCAGGACCCCTAGATCTGGACGCGAACCAGCTCTCACGTACTGACAGGTACGAGAGCTTCGTTTCTTTTGTAAACCTACCTCGCTCTATCTTGCACCTAAAAAGACACCTTGGTGATGTTGCCGGCTCGTCAGCTGCCGATTTGCCGCGCGGAGACGAGGAAGAAACGGGGTTTCCAAAGGGCTGAAGTTCGTTCGGCACAGACGGGATCGTCTGGCATCTAGTGTCCGTATCTTCGGAGTGCATTGACGTTGCAGAGGGCGGTGGAAGTGGGTAGAAACCGAAATCTCGAGATACGAGGTTGGCGGAGGGGACGAAAACAGCGCGTCGGTCTCGACACGCCTGAATAGATGGTACCCGGTGCAAAAGCCCGAGGAAAGGGAAATGGATGGCATATGCAGGCGGCAGACAACTTGGGGCGAAAACAGGCATCGGACTGGGAGATTTGCTTGCTCGGAAGCCCCAATCCTCAGATGCACGACCCCTAAAATAAATCACGGCGGTCCACCCAAGCTTCTCGGAATTGCTGAGGCTTGAGGCCCTTGAACAATGAAAGCTGAGGCCTGAAGCCGCCGAGCCGTTCTGTCACTGTTGAGACAAGCCGAGGCCGTCGTACCAGATTGGCATCCAAGAATGCGCCGTTGGTCTGGGCATCCATTTACCTCGCACCACACGTCATGGAGGGGGATCATAGCGGTGAACGGTGCCGGAACCAGGAACGTAGCCGAGGAATTGATCAACAAAGCGCCCTTCACAGTATTGGCGACTGGCAAGCAGGCAACAAGCAGGCAACAAGCAGGCAAGGTAGGGGTTGGCAAGTGTCGAACAATAGCTAGGCAAGAATAGCTTGCAAGATCGATCAACAACTGGGCTGATACAGCCTCGACCTCGCGATCAGGGTCCAGGGCGGATCATTATGTCACAGTCAAGCGGATCTTCCGCAACTCCAGTTGCCAGTTGCCAGTGCTATGACGAGGGGACGGACAATGAGGCAGGACGGACAACACGGGCAACACGGGCAACACGGGATGGGAGGGTCGACGCGGGCAAGCAGGCATGCTTCGGCATGCAGAACACGGAGATAGGCAGGACGTTGGAGATGACAGCATAAGGCAAGTACCTTGGAATGCCATTGATTGCGGGCGGCAGGGCGGGCAGCACAGCCTCGTTCAGCCTGGATTCGAGAGCTCGGAGCAAAGCAATCCACAGCGGCAGAACAAACAGCCTGCCACCTGCACCTGCACAAGTGCCACAAGCCAATTCAGGGGTTGGATCCTGAATTGGGCAAGCGCGCAGGTCGGGGATAATGGCTGTTTGCCCTTTGCCAGCTGGTTTTCCTGCTTGCCTGGGCTCAGGGCGGGGCCAACAGAGGCTTCACCGCCGGGATGTGACCCCTAAAGATTGCCCAAGCCTGCCAGACAGAGAGAACTCTGCTGCTCTTCGCCCAGAAACAGAGACAGAGGGACAGGACAACGCTGCCGGCTGCAAGATAGGTAGGTACGTACCTCCTTAGGTAACCTCCATTCAAGACGCGAACTGCTCGCGATCTGTCGGACCTTGGACGAAACCGACAACCCGACCGTGTGTTTAAGCAGATCCGGGATCGTGGAGCTATGAGGTCCCCTGTCGGCATGAGTTTGCACCGCCTCACGATGAGAAGGGCAAGCAAGCACGAGAGCGCATCTCGATGTTGGGTGTCATTGCGTCGTTTTTTGTTTCGATCAGCGAGATCACCAGAACACTTCAGGTAGACGCATCGAGACCACCCACGCAAGGAAAGCCAGCAGCAGATGGTCATTGGGAGAGTCATTGGGCAGTTGATCATGATCGAGCGTCTTTTACAACCGCCATTCATTACTCCAAGCAGCAGTAGTGGAAAAGTATGCCGCGTCGCTAGACACTCGCGTGACAACGCTAGAATCGGGGTTCCTCCGGAGATGCTGCTAGTAGCAGTCTTGTTGGGCAGGTCATAGGAGGTAGTACCTCATAGCTTAGGAGGTAGTTAGTAGCTAGGTAGGTAGAACGATGGATCTAGGTGAGCGTGGTGAGCGTGGTGAGCGTGGTGAGTGTGGTGAGTGTGGTGAGCCGTCGCAAACCCAAATGCCCCGTCATATGGCCGATCTTGGCCCCTTTTTGGGTTTCCCTGAGCCTGGACCTCGGGGTTCTGGCTGGCGGGAAGAGAGCGGGAGCGCGTGGAGAGCTGACCGTTTATTCCACATCCGTAAAGTACACAGCTACCGGCTTGAAGCTTCACACTTCACCTTTCATTACTGCCTCAAGCTGTCTGTCCATCTCGAGGCAAGGTAAGGTACCTAGCTCAGGCAGGAGTCGGGTGATATAAAGAAGAAACATTGAGCCCAGGAATCGTCTGTTCTCCGATGGAAAACTCGGCTTACACACGCCCGAGGCATCGCCAGCTTCGCATCCGCCAACCTGACACACCTGGCTCCGTCTAGTTCTCGTCGTAAACAAGTTCTTCATTCACCCGTAACCGCATGGAATATTCTATGCCCGCTATCCATCCATTCCACGCCTGTTCCCCAACCCGACAAGCCCGAATGCCCCATCGTGGTCCATCGCGAAGACAAGAAGCCCAGAAAAACACCGGGCCGTCTTTTTTAGTTCGCTTCTCAGCCTCACCGGCGCCCTGGGAAGTCTTGGGAAGTCTGGCAAGTCTGGGCTGGCAGAGTCCCATCAGGCCATCCCGTGGCGCGCCAGGCTCGCATCCCATCCGCCGTCCATCCATGATCCAAGGACGTCCCGTCCAGTCCTGCCACGGCCTGCCCAGTGCCCAGTGCCCCCCGGTGCCCAATACGATAGACGCGCGAATACCCACTTGCGGTACCTCACCAACCGTCTCCTGGCCTGAACTTGCCTGAGTGCTGGCCCGAGTCCTGGCCCGTGGCTTCGCTTCGTGCAGGTCGACCGGTCGATGAACCGTGCGGCGGCGGCTGCATTATAACCCCCGGTCCCCTCACCTTGTCACGCTTGTACATCCGACATTCTTCGTATATTAACTTAAGTACTTGCCATCTCTCGCTCGCTCGCTCGCTCGTTCACTCATTCCCCTGGTAATTGCCATCCTCTCGCTCTCCTCGACCGGTTGTTTGCGGCATCTTGTGTGTGTGTGTGTGTGTGATAGCCACGACGCTCGTTCGACATCGACTGCTTTGCGCCTACACCGGACTCACCGCCCACTCGCTTTGCCCTATCGTCACTCGAGTCTGCAGCCCTCCTGCATCCTCAGTCCCGAACGACCTCTGAGAGACCCGCTTGGTCGCGTGATACTCACCTGCCGCGTGCATCGAGCAGACCGCAACTTGCGACATCGAGTTTGCTGCTCCGTAATATGAGCAGTGCTTTTCCCACTCGATCGTGGACTGGTTATTTGTTGGCACCTTGAGCAGCACGGAAGGAAGCATTCACAATG